TACTAATCTTAAGTTCTATAAATTTACGCGTTACTACCCCTCATCCATACCAGCTCCGTCTCGCGAGCCGGAAAAAACAGCTCGGAGCACGCACGCGCGCCACGTGCGGAGTCGGTCAGAGCACGCGCTTACCGCGTGCCAGCAGCGTCTATATCCTCGCGCGCATACCAAGGTCGTTCTTGCTTAATCATTACCATCCGTACTAAAACACACGTGTGTTCGCTTGCGATCCTAACCAGGACATAGCCTTAAGTTAAGCGGTGACAAATTCAATCGAGTAAGCGGTGTCACACTAAGCGCATTGATTACTCGCGAATATTGTAGCTTTTCAAGGTTCCCGTTCGCGTGATATTAAAACTACCGTTGCCGTAAGATGGCAACTCTAACGACGTTAACAGACAAGCAAGCCGATCTCGGATCACGGATTGCGAAGACTATAATTAATTTACAAAAAGCGCCGAAGGATCGAATTAATATAATATCGGTAACTAAGTATATGGAAACGTTAAACGAGCGTTGGCAAGTCTTTTCAGCAACTCATTATAAAATGCTAGATTCCTCCGGTTTCAAGGATACTGAATACGCGAAATCAGACTATTTCACTCAAACGGAGGAGGCGTATTATGATGCTCTGGGAGCCGTTACCACGGTTTTGGAGAAATTAAACGCCGCCTCGGAGCCCGAGAAAGTCAAGGACAATCCTTCTCCTACAACTACCTCGCTGGTGCGCCAGCTTCAGTTGCCAAAAATCGATCCCCCTGAATTTTCTGGTGACTTTCTTGAGTGGAAAGGTTTCCGTGATCTATTCGCCTCAATGGTAGGAAATGTTCCAACTCTTTCCGATGTCCAAAAGTTACTTTACCTTAAACGTAGCTTGAAAGGAGAGGCCGCGGAAGTTATCGTTAATACTCCATTAACCGATGATGGTTTTAAAAGCGCATGGAATGCACTTTGCAATCGTTATGGTAACGAACGCGTTTTATCACATCGCTACCTTGCGGACCTCTTCAATTTTCACACCGCTGAGAAAAGCAGTGCTTCGGAGCTTCGTCGTGTATTGGACCGTGTCAATACGATCGTACGTGCTTTGTCCTCTCTACAAAAACCGATTGCTCAATGGGATGAAATTTTTCTATTCGCGCTGACTAACAAGCTAGACTCTAAAACAAGGATTGACTGGGAGACATCTCTTGGAGATGGCAAATCCGTACCGAAATTTGAGAAATTATGTAATTATTTAGAGAATCGCATCCAAGCCCTTCGAACTCTAAATCAAGGCAGTGCGAGCAGTGCAAAGCAGGAGAACACTTCAAAACCTACGAAATTTAGTAAAGCAGCTCCAAGCAAAGCCAGGAGCTTTAATTCAACAACAAACGGTAAAAGTAAACCACCCATCAAGTGCATTGTGTGTTCCGAAAGTCATTCCTTAATTAATTGCACCGAGTTCAGAAAGCTAACGCCGGCTGCTAAAAGGGAAAAGATAACGCAACTTCGAGCATGCATAAATTGCTTAAACCCATATCATCTTGTCAACAAATGCGCGTCTAAACATTCTTGCTTTGCATGCGGCCAAAGGCACCACACTACCTTGCACGATTCTTTCACAGTACCAGTGCTAGCTTCAAGTCAGACTTCAGGTTCGGGGTCAGGGTCAACTACTTCAGTCGACAATATCTCGGTGTCGAACGCAAGCCCTGCCTCCAGTTCAACTGCCTTGACTGCTCGCGCTCCTGGCGTCGGAATCGTATCTACGGCGCGCGTCCTTCTAACAGGGCCCAGTGGCAAAACACTTAGAATCCGAGCACTTCTGGACACAGGTTCCGATTCGTCCCTTGTCTCCGAATGGGTGGCGCAAACTTTGCGGCTTCCTAAGAAACCGGTTCGAGTGGAGATTTCGGGAATTGAGGCCAAGGGCCCGGTTACGGCCCGCGCCTCGGTCAGTGCTTACCTCGGTTCCCCGTCCGACAATCAGTTCAAGCTTCCAATTGAAGCTTTGGTCCTACCAAGTTTACCCACAAAACTACCTGCAAGGTAGTTGCCCATCGCGCTTCAGGATTGGCCACATTTACGAGGTCTCCAATTAGCGGACCCAGACTTCGCCAGTCCTGGTTCGGTTGACCTTATCATAGGATGCGGATTCTGTGGGCATCTGTTTCTCAATGACAAGAAGACTGGCCCCCTGCCAAGTCCGGTGGCTTGGCTTTCTGTCTTTGGATGGGTCATCATGGGAGCACCTTCACTGCCTCCAAGCCTGTCCTCCTCCCACTGTCAGGTCTCATCCGATCTAGGAACAGTCCTACGAAACTTCTGGACGCTTGAAGAAGTCCCGTCAATCTCTCCCCTCTCAACGAGCGAACAAGAGTGCGAAAATCATTTCGTCGATAACGTTCGCCGCCAGGCTGACGGCAGATACGAAGTACGACTTCCGTTCAAGTCGGATCCAACCTCTCTCGGCGACTCTCGGTCGCTAGCTCTCTCTATGTTGATCTCCACTGAGAGAAGATTATCCAGAGATGATAACTTACGAACCAAGTATCTTGAATTTCTAGAAGAATACGCACAATTAGGTCATCTCAGTCCAAGTAATTCCTCCCCCCCAGCTTACTATCTACCACATCATGGCGTCTTCAAGACCCATGACGCAAATGGTAAGCTCAGAGTAGTTTTTAATGCGTCATCTCGGACCTCAAGTGGCCTTTCACTGAACGACTGTTTACATGTAGGCCCTAAACTTCAATCAGATTTAGGCATGGTGCTTTCACGATGGCGGCTCTTTGAGTTCGCGTTCTGCGCCGATATCGTCAAGATGTTCAGGCAAATCTCTATTCACCCAGATGATCGCTGCTGGCAGCGTGTCCTATGGCGTTCCTCGCCCTCGTTAGCAGTAGAGGACTTAGAATTAAACACCGTCACGTACGGTACTACATCAGCTCCATACCTCGCCATAAGAACACTCCTCAAGCTCGCGGAGGACGAGGAGACTAACTTTCCATTGGGGGCTAATGCGCTGCGGCATTTTTCGTATGTAGATGATCTGTTGGTAGGAGCTTCCTCGCTGTCTGAAGCGTTAGAGTTGCAGAGCCAAGTCACTGCAATTCTTCAATCCGGACGTTTCCCCCTGAGTCGGTGGTCGGCTAATCACCCGGAATTGTGTCCAATCTCCGAAACAGGTACTCGTCTATTCCAGCCCGCCGAATATACTAAACGCTTTAGGTATTCGTTGGCACACTCAAACCGATACGCTCACACTCCGAGCATTCGAACCTCCTTCCTTGACACCCACTTGGACAAAACGCAGCATTTTATCTGAAGTGGCCCGAATCTTCGATCCCTTAGGCTGGTTTTCTCCAGTGGTAATAAAGGCCAAGATCCTCCTGCAGCAACTCTGGGTTGCGGGATTAGATTGGGATGAACCCGTATCCGAACAACATGCAAATACTTGGCTGAGTTTGCGGGAGTCTATGGGCCAGCTTGACACCCTCCATATCCCTCGTTGGCTGGGCTCTCCAGGTCTTAAAGAAGGCGTCCATCTTGTAGGATTTTGCGATGCATCCCAGAGCGCATATGCAGCCGCCGTTTACATAGGAATCGGCGATCCGTCCAGTTCCAATGGTCTACGGCTTTTAATGGCCAAAAGTAAAGTCGCGCCGATAAAGCCCGTTACGATTCCACGATTAGAACTTTGTGGAGCTCTTCTACTAACCAAGCTCCTTCTAGCGATAAAGCAGGGACTTCATTTATCAAAAGTCACGATTAAGGCTTGGTGCGATTCGCAAGTC